AATTCCCTCCCTCCCACCCCCCCACTCCTCCAGAATAGCCTTATAAAAGTCGAACCATTTCTGTTGCTGTCTGAAAAAAAAGAAGACATATTTGTCTACTGCATTCCTTCCTTGTCTGCAGTCTGGAACCCCTGATTTGGGGGAATGCCCTTGGAGGAGACCACATTTATTATATTCCGAGACATAATGCCATTTATCTTCAGCTCCCTGCTTATTTCCCCTTTAGTACGATCCTGGAGGAGGAGAAGCTGCAGCAGGAAGAACGAATAAGGATGGAATCCAGGCGACAAGTCACCGTGTCCTGGGATTCTGGAGGGTCGGATGAAGCTCCTCCCAAGGTAGTATGGAGTGAAGATCCGTTCTTATCTCATGTCCTTTCTCCTCCCAAGAAGTGTTAAGCGCTCTCTTCTGCTGGGTTGTAAATCCACGGGCTCAGCAGTGCTGGGTCCACATACAGACCGAGGTTTTCTTTTGTTAAAATTCAAGCCAACAGTCTTGTTTCTTCTTTTTTGTAAACTCAATAACTACTAACAGAAGAGAATATTTGTAACTCAGGGTTGATCTTAGCGCTCTCTTAAGCGTGGCTGTTTTTATGAAAAGAACACTGCAAGAAAACCACCAAGCTCAGCTCGAGCACCAAGGACCCCCTCAATAATTATTGCCCAGCTAACTTTAATAAATTAGAAACAAATAACAAATGATGGTCAGTATCTATAATGGTTTATTAACTTGGGGGAGGGGAGTCTTTCTGGCATGGTTTTTATTTCTTGTTGCAAGGAGATATAGTTGAAAAAAATAACAATACTGTGATTATTTCTGACAGCAGTGTAGTTTTTGTGATGTTGAGCCAGGTTGCTAATTATTCTTCTCTACATTCACAATTTCTTCTTCGGACTCTCTCCTACCAGTCTTTAGATTATTTTGCCTCAGGTAAAACATTTGCTTTTGGGTCTTATTTGTCATCTCACAAATGACCGATCAGAGAGAATTCTTGACGTCCACAAACTTATATTGATGGCACCCCAGAGAAACATTTCAAAATTAGTTCCATCCATTCTACTCTATGCTGGGAGAAATCCTTACTCTGTGAAGAATGAGATTGTTTGCTGAAGTTTTGTTTGCATCTGTTTTTGTTAGCTTGTCTTTTGACAAGCCTTTGGCCTCGTTGCTCATTGCTAATTTGGGTTGAGTTTCTTATCATGACGTGTGTTTGTGTAGCCACTTTTAACTTGGGTCTTAAGAAATGGTGTGTCATAAGTTTGCCAGGCAAATAGAAGTCCGAGTGGAATCACAGAAATTCATTTCTCGATCTATACATAATAGAGAATGCGAGATAAAATGCAGAGATGAAACAGGATAGGATAAGATGGGGTAAGAACTGGGAGAAGAGAATGCAAGACTGATAGCATGGGAATGGGAGTACAAGCAAGTAAAAAATAGCCTGCATTCTGACAGAAAATTTTTCAGTTGGAATGCCAGATTTCCCTGATTCTGCTTGACACTTGGAGAAGATTTTTCCTACTTTGAATACCATGAAATTTGAATTCCTTTCTGTACCTAAGAAATTTGAAATATTTACACCCCCCATTCAACATATGTATGTTAATTATATTTTTTACAGTTTTTACAATATATTTACAGTGATAGTTTTACTTCATATAACTTGTCAGATGCATGGGTCTCGTATCTGCAAGGCCCAGTAAAAAGAATCAAACAAAAACCATGGATGGGATACTGAGTTCCACCATCTTTCCATTCTTAAATAGGTCCCTGATTTCCACAAGGGTTAACTTGAGAAATCAAGGGTTGTTTTGGACGAAGAAGTGGCTTTAGTTGAGAGTCATTGAAAAATTGACAAGTGTAGGAGATGTGTGATAAGTATTGGACTGACCACCTTCTGTAAAGGCTATTTTTCAATGATTCTGTTTGATCTCCGCAGAAGTATTCCACATTATCATCATCATCATCCTGAATGTTTCATGCACAATCGTGCTTGGACCAGAATAGAGAATAATGGAATGGGATGGGACTTTGTCCATAGGCTTCCCAAACAGGAGACCCTATACCAGTGATGGCAAACCTTTTGAGCACTGAGTGCCCAAACCGGAACATGTGTTTGCATGCGTATGCCAGAACCCCAGCAGTGTGCGCATGCACACCAGCCAGCTGGTCTCCTAGGGCTTCGGCTGGCGCAAAGATCAGTCCGCTGGTGTGCATGTGTGCACCAAAAATGAGAAGAGCAGCTGGCGATGGAGCACATGCCCACAGAGAGGGCTCTGTATGCCATCTCTGATACGCATGCTATAGGTTCGCTGGC